GGCGGGAAGCCTGCTTCTCCCTCTCCTACTCCCCCTGCTTGTGTTCCTGCTCTCGCTATCTATCTCTCTTGTCAAATAAATAAATAAAATCTTTAAAAAAAAAAAAAAAACATAGAACAACCCTGGGGCATCTGGGTCGCTCAGTTGTTAAGCGTCTGCCTTTAGCTCAGGTCATGATCCCAGGGTCCTGGATTGAGCCCTGCATCCAGCGCCCTGCTCAGCCGGAAGGCTGCTTCTCTCTCTCCCACTCCCCCTGCTTGTGTTCCTTCTCTCGCTCTCTCTCTCTCTCTCTGTCAAATAAATAAAATCTTAAAAAAACATAGAACAACCCTATGATCCAATAATTGCACTACTAGGTATTTACCCAAAGGATATAAAAATACTGATTCAAAGGGATACATGCACCCCTATGTTTATAGCAGCATTATCTCCAGTAGCCAAATTATGGAAACAGCTCAAGTGTCCATTGACTGATGAATGGATAAGGAAGATGTGCTATACTCTGGAAAATTACTCTGCCATCAAAAAGAATGAAATTTTGCCATTTGCAATGACATGGATGGAGCTAGAGGGTATTACGCTAAGTGAAATAAGTCAGCCAGAGAAAGACAAATAACCATATGATTTCACTCACATGGAATTTAAGAAGCAAAACAAATGACCAAAAGGGAGAGAGAGAGAGGGAGGGAGGGAAACAGACTCAACTCTAGAGAACAAACTGATGGTTACCAGAGGGGAGGTTCGTGGGGGGATGGGTTAAATAGGTGATGGGATTAAGGAGTTCACTTGTGATGAGCACCTTGTGTTGCAGGAAGTGTAGAATCACTATACTGTACACCTGAAACTAATACTACACTGTATATTAACTAACTGGGATTTAAATAAAAACTTAAATCCCAAAACCCCACATATCATCATCAGTTCTCTAGAATCAGCAATGCAGTTGTTCTACTAAATTTACAACTCTAAATCCAGTGTGCAAGACCATAGTTTTCAATTATTTCTTTTCCGCTGACTTAGAGATAATCATGATTTTATCAAGTGTTGGATATTTTTTATCAGGGGAGCAGGTGATTTAGAGTCATTATTTTTACATTAAAATGAACCCTTGTATTTTCTTTTACTACACCGGGTAATTGGTTCAGATATGGTGGAAATAACAGTAAGCCAGACTTTCTGGCAGACTTTCTGGCTGTCTAGACCTTCAGGTCATTGTTGTTAAATGCTGGTTTGATTTTAGTGATTCAGATTCAGGGGTATCTGCAAACTCAAACAGGTGCCCTAATGAGTCATGTAGTGTCCATATAATATTTTTAGCATGACGTTAAATGAGTCTGTAGTAAAGAAAACATTCTTTTTGTACAGGTACAGATATGAAAAGTATTCTCCTTTCTCTAATTCCACTCTCAGCCTCTCTCCATGTCTCTTGGAGTCAGACAGTCAATTACCTCTCTCGGTTATAGAAAAATCACAATCCAAAAGAAATGATGGTAAGATGATTTTTTTTACTTGACTAAGAAAGCTTTTAAAAAAGAATTAATATGTGCTTTAGGATGGACAAAAATTTCTGTGTTTTTTTTTCTGTCAAAAGCTTTACTACTTAAATTGGGTTATTATAGTGTCATAAAAAGTCCTAGAATATAAGGCAGTATATGATGAGATCCTAAGAGAATATGCAGAGATTCAAATCTTATGGAAAGGGGCATTAATTGCCAGTGACTGAGAAAAGCTCCCAGTGGTTCCAAATAAGGTGGGCCATCGAATAAGGATAAAACTAGCTTGGCACATACAAATCTCAGTCCATTGCTCAGCTATAAAATATATTTTTCCCCCCAGATCTCAACTGAAAATCTGTGTCCATCCCCTTTTCATCAGAATGACAAAAATTTAATCTCAATTTGTCCCTAACCTTCACCCTTTCCCCAAGGGTTGCTTACATTCTGGGGAGCTTACATAATAGCAAAGGGGGTGGTTGTGGGAGGGCCCTCTTGGTGTTATCAGTCCCTGGTCAACTTAGATATTTAAAATCCCTCTGGCCTCAGTGTTTGGTCATACATGTAATTTTAAGGCCATCCTATGTCTACCTTTATGTCCTTTTTAGCACAGCAGCTCTCTCTAATGTGGAAGTGACAGTCTTGGAAACTTGGAAATAGTTCTCTTTTCCACACAAGACAGGATGCAGGGAATTTTGTTAGAATCTCTAGAGTTCCGTATGGCTGACCCATATTCCATATCAATGCATTGTGTGAGCCACCCTTGGGAACATGGGAATCCTCTGGAAACCCTTTGAGGAGTCAAAAGCAGGGCCACAGTGTACAACCGTCTCATCTTTTGGGTCTTGATACCTTCCTGGGCTCTACCTGGCCATGGTGGCACAGCTTCTCCCTGCTCATGGAGTCCACACATCTACCCACAAGTGTCTGCCATGTCTCCAGGATGCTACAGAGACAGGAGCCCAAATGCCCTCTCTCTACTGCCCTTCAGCATTGACATACTCTGCGCTTCCTCTTCACCACTCCCACCTCACTCCCTGCTCCTAGCCTCCGGATTGATTTCTTTATAGGCAGTGTGGAAGCTTCTCTTTTATCTACCTGTTAGTCATGCAAATCTTTTATTTATATCATAAAACCTTTAATTTCCCCTAATATCCTCAGTGCTTTCTTTTGAGATGTCTTTTTCCTGAGCAGTGAACACTTGAAGTCTGGTTATTTGAATGAAGGGAAGGGCCAGAGGATTAAAGGAAATCTAGAAATATGAGGGGAGGAGGTAGGGAAGATGTAATCATGTAGAAAGTTTACCCCATCCCGCTGTATGAAAAGAAGTAGAAAAACACCCTGGAAGGAGAGGAGAGTATAAGAGGAGGGTTTGAAGATGTTTTGTTTTTGTTTTTGATAATCACAAAAGATGTAATATAATTGGCAATACAACTAATTAGGAAATATTTAAACCTTTAATATTAAGAAGAGAAACATAGGGTTTAGAGGCAGGAATTAAAATGTTTTTAGTGGGAAGAGACAAGTTATTAGGTATACAGTATAAGACTCACAACTCAATCTTTTTCTTTCCTTTAAATGAGGTCTTGCTCCCTTAAAGTCATAGGCTTATGTGGACATCAGACATAGTGGACACAAAGTTCATCCTAAAAATGATAGTGGGGTAAATATAGGGCTCTTCCCAAAAATGCTCCCCGTACAACTCCCATTCCCCCCACAACACTGGAGAGCAGAGCTGTCCAACAGAACTCTCTGCGATGGTGGAAATGTTCTATATCTAGGTTGTCTGATACAGCAGCCATTAGCCACATGTGACTATTGAGTACTATAATATAGCTAGTGTGACTGAGGAACTGAATTTTTAATGTTCTGTAACTTTAATTTACATTTCAGTAGCCACATGTGGTGTGTGGTTACTATACTGGAAAGCACAGATCTAAGATGTCTTCCCCTATCTATAAGACTTCCCTACCAGCAAGCTTCTTGGGGTCACACAAATGTTAGGAGTAGAATTGATATTAGAATTAGGTTTTTTTTTTTTTTTTAGAAAAGGAATTAACATTATATTTGGGGGAGTGGAATGGAAATCCACAGAAGATAAATAAAAAAATGCTTGGTCACTTGGCTACATTTCCAGAAGAGGCAGAGTTAGGAAGCAGCAAGACTACACACATGATAGTCTGGTCTGTCACACAGTCTGACTCATCTGCACAAGAGAATTCACCTCAGTTCTAAATAACCCATATTTTACCTTCAAATTTTACTTTAAGGGCTACTAATAAGTGGAAATAACTCCTACCTCATAGGATTATTAGGAGAATTTAATTTTAAAAATGCCTGCCAATCACTTAGCCCCGTGCCTGACAGAAAGGGAGCATTCAGAAGTGGTGATTGTTGGAGATAGAAAATATTATCGCTTTTATTAAAGTGATTAAACTCTTCAAAGTGTATTTCACTTGTGATATGGGAGTTAATTCTCCAGCTTCACATGATTATATCAAGATATGACTTCTACAAAAGCATTTAAAAATTGTTAGCTTTGAATTTCATTCTAAGAAGACTGCCGAAAGGTTCTTTCTGTTCGAAGAGTTATACTACTAAAGCATATAGGGTTTTAAATTTTTATGTGAAATTAGTTTCCTTAACATGAGCCCTAAAAATGGTTATTCACTGTCAAACAGTTGTGATGCTGTCCAAAGTTGAAGTATCACCCATATAAAATTTTGGATTTCAGATAAAAGTTGGTCAGCAATAAAATTACAAGTGATTTCTGTTGAAAAATTGAAAAGTTTAAAAGATTAAGGGGAGAAAATCCTTCATTCGAAATTTTGTGTTTTGTTTCAGACAGGATATTGAATGTTATTGGAGCATAGGAATTCAAAGAATTCAGTGTAAATATAGAACAAAAAAGAGAAAATAAGAAGCAAGGCATCAGAAAGAAGAATCAAAAGAGTTCCTTGATCAAAATCTCTGGGGTATTTACATTGCCTAAAACATTGAAGCCAAAATATTTTCCAAACTTGCTCTGACTCCTATCAAATTATGTCTATTGGAAATTTCACTTTTACATCCTAATCCAATTTTAGGACAGCTTGTAGAAATGCAGAATAAATATTTAACTTTGATACTGACCTAATTTCATTCCTCTTATTCACTTTCCTTTCAAGAATGTGAAATGGATGCCGGCTCTTCCATGTGGGTTTATGTTTTCCTGGGGAACCTTCTTCGTGGAATTGGGGAAACTCCTATTCAGCCTCTAGGCATTGCCTACCTTGATGATTTTGCCAGTGAAGACAATTCTGCTTTCTATATTGGTAAAGCCTACCTCATTCATCTTCTTGGGAAGCAGGGTACCTGGTTTTCTCAACTCCATTCCAAACTAAATAGAGCGTGGAAGGTTTTATCCTTCAGATCCAGTTCCTTTTTTGAGTTCACACGTTTCTGAGGTCCACACTGAGGATTTGGATGATGAAGAAACTTGAATTAGAAGGACCAATTGCATTCGGGAAAGAACATCAGATTAAAAGGAAATAACTGGAAGATCAACTGCCATGATGTATGACTTTGTGCAAATATCTTCCTGGACTTCAGATTTCATAGGTTCTTTTTACTGGGTTAACTGTACTCCTGAAGCATTTAGGTGTCATTTATATTCATTTTTTAATTTTGTTTCCAGAGCCCTAGAAACTACTTCCCATCTTTTAAGCCCTGACTATTTAAAGCATTTTCTTCCTGTGAGGGGTAGGCAAGGAATTCTGAGTTCTCAATAGCAAATATGAATGGATAAAAACACAGAAAGGATGAGAGCAGCAGCTAAAATCATACACACACACACACACACTCTCTCTCTCTCTCTCTCTCTCTCTCTCTCTCTCTCTCCAGCAAACTCAAACTCCAAGGCCAGATGCATCTAAGTAGCATTTATGGAGTACCTCTTGAGTCTTGGAAACTAAATTTTTCTCCATTTCACACATCAGTCTTGATTTCTTGGGGCTCTGATCTTTTGAGGGCCTGGCCTTCAAGGGATAGAGGACAAGATTTAAATTCACTGAGAGGGGCTGGGACTAGCTCCACAGTATAGTTCTGCCCTGGCCATGTGCACAGAACTCCAGAGGGCTCTCATTACAGTCAGGCAGGCTGTGATTAAAAACAGGTTACCTGCTCTGATGGAAAACTGCAGCGTAAATCAGGACCTGGAACAGAAGCTCCATCACATGTGCTAGGCAGTTACTCTGGGGACTGGAGGAAAGGTTGCAAGCCAAGAGATGCATGCAGGTGTCAGGGTGTCCCCTTCCTGCTCTCTCTCTTCACCCCCTCTTCTCTTCCAGAAAGGATCTGGTAACTGCCATTTACTCCTCCTCTTAATTTAAATTAATCTGCCAGGGATATGTGTGCATCAAGCTGTGGTGAAATGAAAAGGCAGATGGGCCATACAGCTACATTTCTGATACCCAGGAACGGTGTTGTTTAAGCAATCTGCTCTAGTTTCCTGTTAATGCTGCCCAGGCTGGTCATGATTGTTTCCAAGAGCACCTCTCTGTACTGGCAGGTCTAGCTCCTTGGCTGGCTGTGTTCAGGGATCTGCATAGCTACTGCTCTCACATGGTCCCACAGACTCTCTGAACACATGCACTTTTGGTCTAAGGTGGAAGAAATCAATTTTAATGTCAAAATGACTCTTATGCTTAATCAACCATAAAAAGTTTTTGAAAGACTGTCAAAATAGTATAATTCTGTTTTTTTTGTTTTTGTTTTGTTTTGTTTTGTTTTGTTTTACTCCTTTTACTCCTAAGGAGTAAAGTTTGCTCCATTTGGGGGAAATTACCTTCTTCAGAATCTTGGTGTTATTTCCTTACTAAGAGGTAATTAATGCCTTCCAAGTGTTCATTCTTCTTCCAAAGCTGAGAAGGACTTATTTCCTGATTCAATAAGGTTGAAAAATTGACAAATTAAACACACTTAAATGAAGAGTTGATGAGATATTTTCAGCTACTAACTGGATCTCACTCCTATTTCTTGTTTAAAAATTTATTAATTTACAAAAGCGGAGAAATGCCGCTTTTTTTTTTTTTTTTTTGGGTGCAGGGTGTGTGCAGACGGTTGCAATTATAGGACCGATCTTTGGCTTCCTGCTAGGCTCATTATGTGCCAAACTGTATGTTGACATTGGCTTTGTAAACCTAGGTAAGAAAGTTTATTTTTATTTATTTATTTATTTTAGTCACTGCAATTTTTTTAACAGGGATGGTGTAGAAAATATCAAATTCCCTTTTCATAAAGTTACAGGATGGTAATCTTTCATAAAATGAAAATAATCCACTGAAAATTTGTCATTGATCTAATCACTGCATGCTTTAATAAATGGAATATGAAAAATAGGCAGTGGTTAGAACTGGATGACCCATGGTTTGTTATTCAGATGTATCCTTTTTCACTTCTGGTTTGCCACTTCAAATGCATTCCAGCATAGTTAAGACTAAAAACTGTGGCTTCTTGTTGGCTCTTGTTGGTTCAGGTGTAATAACAAGACAGACACATCAATTGATAATCTATTTTGTAGACTTGCCAGGAAGACCAAGAATTGAAAGTGTTCTGGCAACCAAAATATGTTCTTTACTGTACAAATCTTTTTTCAGGTGGAGGCATATTAGAGTGAGTCTACCTTATTCTCTGGGAGAGTACTTGTGGAGGGAGTAAATGGGGGACCTCATCTTTCCATAGCTATTAATGTGTTCCTGTCCTTGTGAGATGTACCTCCTGGATATGGACATTTACTTTTCTTCCTTTTTTAAGAAATTCAAGAAAGCAGTTAGAAACAAGAAAACAAGTTTCAGCTTTAAAAATTCTGAAACTGCATTTTGAAGTCCTCATGTGTTAAAATTAAATGCAAAAACTCTTGCACCAGTTTGTCTTTTTTATCAAATAAACTACAAGACACATTCTAAAAATTTTATTTATTCATTCATTTATTCATTAACCTCATTAATTTTGCATCTATTCTATCCCAGGTGCTGTTCTACCACAAAATGGTGAATAAAATGGAAGTTGAGTATCTTGACTTCCTGAGGTTTTAAAATCCAGTCATGGAGATTGATTCAGATAAGAAAGCATAGGTGTGATGAGTGGTACAGAGGGAAATTGTTAAGGGAAGCAGTGAAGATGCAGTGATGAGCCAGTGTGAACATTTTACCAAGTATAATGTGGCAATTGGGCCTATTTGTCAAAGGACATGTGTTTATTTCATTGTTCTCACAGAGTGCCGTGGAGGTAGATCTATCATATGTTTTATGGGTTCTTATATAGAAAAGAAGAAAAAAACACTTGATTTGGTTCAAAAAACTGCATCACCCCTTACCTTTTCGTCAAATAAGAAATGGTGTCAAAGATAAAGTTTTGATGATGAATAAGACATTAACATTTTATTTATATATACAAATCTTGCTTCAGACCTAGATTAGCTCTGAAGTATTACTGTCATTTAGTGACTAACATTCTGAATGTTTTAGACTAGATTGGGACCAGAGGGTGTAGGATATAACTCTTTCTTTGAGAAAAATCTTGGACAGACATTCAATATGTGGACCAGATGCAAGTGGTGCTTATGTGGGGGAGTTGGCAAAAGGCCTGGAGCCCCCATAATTCTCCCTCATAAGGTGCTTGCTTCCTGTCATGGGCCAGGGGGTCCCTCTGCAGAACCCCCAGGGCAAAGTAAGACCCCCTCCCCCAGTATTTAGACTCTATATTTTAAATGTAAGGAACAAATGAAGAAAAGCATCATGGGGCGCCTGGGTGGCTCAGTTGGTTAAGCGACTGCCTTTGGCTCAGGTCATGATCCCGGAGTCCTGGGATCGAGTCCCACATCGGGCTCCTGGCTCAGCGGGGAGCCTGCTTCTCCTTCTGACCCTATCCCCTCTCATGCTGTTTCTCTCTCTCTCTCTCTCAAATAAATAAATAAATAAATAATTTAAAAAAAAAAAGAAAAGCATCATGTTCTAGAAAAAAAGCACCATGTTTCCCTCAAAAAGCAAGATGATGATAATGTTCAGACTAGAAAGTTATCATGCATGAATTATTAGGTATTTTTATGATGTGATAGAGCTGATGCTAGGATTTTTTTAAAAATAAGCTTATTTCAACTCACTGGCTTTGCTGTATATGCTATTTAGCCATCCTCTCTGTCTTTCAGATCATGTAACCATTACTCCAAAGGATCCGCAGTGGGTAGGAGCCTGGTGGCTGGGTTACCTAATAGCAGGAATTGTAAGTCTTCTTGCAGCTCTGCCTTTCTGGTGTTTACCAAAGAGTCTGCCGAGACCCCGAAGTAGAGAGGATTCCAATTCCTCCTCTGAAAAATCCAAGTTTATTATGGATGATCATACAGAATACCAAACACCTCTTGGAGAAAAGTCAAAAATAATGGAAATGGCAAGAGGTGAGCCAGATTCTCCTTGATTTTGAAGCACTTTCAGTTTTCCTGTCGAGATTCTGTAAGGGATCTATAAATAATACCCCTCTCTCCCCATCATTTGTTCAGAAAAATTGAGAAACTATACAGGAAGCAGAATTGAAGATTACAAAGTCAGCTTTATTACTGGAGAGGGATTAAAGATTATGACCCAAAGTTTTCGTAACATTCCTTGCTGACATTCCCACCCTTACACCACTACAGGTTAGACCTGGCAATGGCTCCTATCTGGGATTGCTGCTTCGCATCAGTCTGGGTGGACAGAAAAGAGTGCATCTTCAGAGCTTGTGGCCTTTTAACAGATGAGATTCAGTCATTTGACAAATGTGTCAGTGCATGTTTCCCACTGTTGATCAAAGGAGTGAGTGTGGTGCAGGGCACAAGGCCAGACATATTAACATGAATTCCTTTCACATGGAAAAAGAGTGGCCATGAGAAAGATTGGTCCCCCTCAGTTGGGCCGAGCAAGCAATATTTACAGAAAAATCTTCACATTTCAAACTCTTCAGCTGCATAATAGGAAGAAGGGAGAATGCCAAAGCTCATTTCTTACATTAAGTTCATTAAATTAAACGGAGATAATGTTCATGTTTCTTTCTCTGTGACCATGACGCAAGTTTGAAGAGGAGAGACCAGAAAACTGAAGTTCTAGATGTCCTACCAATGACTTTCAGCTCCGCAGGGAGAGAGTATTCTTGTCCCTCTTTCCTTCTACCCATACCATTGGGAGGAACATGTTCCTGTCTTACTCACACCTCTAAGTGTAATCTAAATTATATGCCTGTAGAAGCGAGTGCCTGTGTCTAGATATGAACCTGACAGATCTCAGCCTTGACTTGTGCCAGTGCTTCATATCCATAGTGTATATGGGCACCACGCTCTAACTGTGGCAGTGGGACTCGGCCAGCTCTGCCCTGGTGCCAAGGCTGTGTCTTCTGCTAAGGGTAGTGCTGTCTTTAATTACTCCATGTTATTTTTGTCTTACAGATTTTCTTCCATCGCTGAAGAATCTCTTTGGAAATCCACTGTACTTGTTATACTTGTGTGCCAGCACCGTTCAGTTCAATTCTTTGTTTGGAATGGTGACCTATAAACCCAAGTACATTGAGCAGCAGTATGGGCAGTCATCCTCTAAGGCCAACTTTGTTATCGGTATGTTCACCTGTCCTTCACGCTTGCCAATAGGCACTATCAGCTGCATCTTGTTAACCCTTAGGCATTTAGGCATTCTCATGTTTAGACTGAAGGTGATTTATGACATTTTAGATATGAAGTCAAAAAGTGAGTGAAAAAAATCTAGCAGAGTGAAAAAAATCCAGTTAAAATACTGAGGTTGTCTGTGGTACAATTTTGCAGCAAGAATTATTCACAACTGTAAGTGAGTGGCCTTAAGAATATTATGTAAACCGAACGTGCATTTTATTAGGAGATTGTGATACTGGGTATGTGTCTTTCAAGTGTAACCAAAACTTCCTAACAGTGGCCATTTTACCTGAACAGTTTCTAGGATCATAAAAAGTGAGTATTCGGGAGAGGTTAAAAGGTGTTCATTGCAAAACAAAGTTTGTTTTTGCTCAGAGTTAAAGGACTTTCCTGAGTCCTGGTATTCAGGTTATTTAAAAGGGCTGTGTTTCTAGCATGGCAGATCAGTCAACAATGAAAAAGCTATTGAAGGGCAAAGAAAAGCATGAAGAAATGAATGAAGAAGAACCAGAATGTGCAAATACATGAACATCATGCTCCAAGTAATTGGATACTTTTAAAACCTGGATTAGCTCCTTTAGTCCATGAGAACATCATTTAATGCTTCTGTTTAAAGGCATATTTTATTCCTTGGGACATATTCCTTAATGGTAGGAAAATCCAAAGATTTAAAAACATTTCTTCTTCATAAAATATTTTAAAATTGTTCTATGTCTCGGTCTCTGGAAGAGGCCTCTGAGCTTATTTCAGAATCTGTAACTGTCCTGTAAGAATCCTGGATAATGGACACTTAGTAGGTGCTAATTTAATTGACTATTCAGACTATTCTGCTAAATTATAAATATTAAAGCTCTACCACTCAACTTTTACTTTCAACATTAATTGGTTCAAATTGATTTAATTGTATGATTTAATGGTTGACCTGAAGAAACATTTTAGGTTTCATTCCCCCAAAACCCCCTCCATGCCAATCAGTGCTTTATACTGACTTTAACAAGAATAGAAGAGAAATAAAAGCTTAGGAGACATTCTTTTTATTTTATTTCAAAATCTCCTTTGTGTTTATTGAGCTATAACTTACAAACAATAGTTAATTCTACAGCCCCTAAATGTGTAGCTCAGCTGGATAAATGTTAACACAAAAATCTGTATAGTAACTATCAGCTAGAACATGGAACTCATTTCAGAACCACAGAGGGCTCCCTCAAACCTCCTCCTGTTCCATACACTTGCCCAATGCTAATAATTATCCTGAACTTTGTCATCGCAGGTCAGGCTTGCTGGTTTTTGAACTTTATACAAATGGAATAGTATGCTGTGTACTCTTTTGTATCTAGCTGATTTCAGTCAAAGTGAAACCTATGAGATTCATTCATGTTGTGTATAACAGTTTGATCTTTTCCATTGCTGTGTCATATCCTATCACATGAATATACCACAGTTTATTCATTTTATTGTTGGTGGGCATTTGGGTTGTTTTCTGCTTTTGACTATTATAAATAACACTGCATGACCATTCTATTTGTATTTTGGTGGTTGTATACACAACGTTTTTCTTGGCTTTATCTTGGAGCAGAATTGCTGGGCCATAGGAAGTATGTATATTTAGATCCAGTAAATATAACCAAAACATTTACAATAGGGTTGTGTAAATTTATACTCACACTAGAAGTATAAGAACGTTCCAGTTGCTCCACATCTCTATCACACTTAGTTATTGTCAGTCTTTTTCATTGTAACCCTTCTTATGGGGTGTGGTGATATCTTACAGTTTATTTGCATTTAACTGATAACTAATGATGTTGAGCACTTTTTTGCAGGCTTGTTGGTTACTTCAACATTCTCTATTGTCAATTATGTTCAAATTGTTTGCCTGTCTCTCTTGAGCTGTCTCTTTTTTTATTGATTTGTAGGGGTAGGTACTTCTTTCTTGATACAAGTTCTTTATTGAATATATGTATTATAACTATTTTCTCACAGACTTCAGTTCTTCTTTTCATTCCCCTAATGGTAAGCTGCTTATTTTTAAGCAAGTCCATTTTCCAGTCTTTTTCTTTCTCATTAGTGCTATCTTATTGCCTGTTTTAAGAAATTGTCAAAACCGAAGGCCATGAAAATGTTTTCCTAATATTTCTACTAGTAGCCTAAGTGTTTTAACTTTCACATTTAGGTTATAATACATTTCAGGTAGTGTATTGTTTTTAAAGATTTTATTTATTTGAGAGAGAGAAAGCACAAGCGGGGGGTGGGGGGATGAGGGAGAGGGAGACGCAGATTCCTCACTAAGCAGGGAGCTGGATGCAGATTTTGATCCCAGGATCCTGGGATCATGACCCCAGTGGAAGGCAGATGCTTAACTGACTGAGCCACCCAGGTGACTCTGGTTATCATACATTTCAATTTTTTTTTTTTTGGTATAATGTGAAGGAAAAGGTCAAGGTTCATTATCAAAATGAAAAAGCCATCTTTTCCCCCATGAATTGCAATGAAGTGACACATCTTTAAGTGTATGTTTATTTCTTATTATTCAACATGTGCATAACACTTAGAGTTTGAGGGCATTTGATTTTGGTGTCACTAGAATGATAAATACATTTTTAATTTCAAATTAAAAACATTTATTTCATAAAGGAAAATTAAGAGCATTGTTTGGGGAAAGATATTTATAATAGAAAATGAGATTATATGTAATCTCATTCCTTTATTGGGTAGATAATAAATGAAATACTTTTGCCATAAAATTATTCTTAAGGAAAATTAGCACAGATGAAAGAACTTGAAATTCTGAGAGATTCAGTGGCCTGCCTAATTGCATACATACATTATGATGTAGCCAGGAATAAAATTAATTCCCCTGAGTTATATTTCCTCTCTGGACATAATTATTTTTGGAAAACTGACAAGAAGAATCTAATAATTCTTTTTTAAGTTGTGGGCAGTTGATTTCTTTTAACCATAATCCTTCTCTGTACACTCAGATGGTCCCTGAGATCCAAGCTCATCATCAGAATTTTTTGACTCCTCTATCAAAGTTTGCCTAAAATTCTGATTCCTCACAATTTCTATCATGTCATGTCTATGGATAATTCAAGTACTTTTGTGAGAGATAAGTAATAGTGTCTAATGATTTCAATCATTACAACTAGGATTCTTTCCTGAATGTATCTTGGTTTCACATTAATTAAGTATGGAAAAAAAGCACAGTAAGAGTTAGTGGGAAAATGAGTCAATATCCATAACACTTATTTTGATTATCTTTAGAATGGTGAAAACAAATGCATCATTAGGTTAAAACAGAGATTAAATAAGACCTATAAAATGCATTGTAAGTGTATACAGCTATCGTTCAATAAATACTGTTCTCTCACTTCTTTCTCTTCTTCTATCATACTTCTCTCCCTTTTTCTCCTTCATTTTTTTGGGGGTGAGGTGGGGAGGCTACAAAGAATGATCCTTTCTGTGATGAAATAAGGGAGAGAAGCACGACGAAAGCACATTTCCCCTCTGCTCTCAGAGAAGACATTTGACATGACATGGTGGAAAGCATAAACAAATTTTCCTTGTGTTCAAGGGCCAGCTGTTACAATGATGATTTATTTTTGCTGTACATGTTTTGCTATGTTGGTCATATTTCTAAAGTTTAGAAATAATATTTTCTCATGTTAGCTACTTTAATTTTGCAAAGAAAATTAAAGAAAAATAAGCAACAAAAATGTTTCATATTCAGGGACTAGGAGGCATATGGCAAAATGATTTTGCTTTTTTGAGTGTGTGGGTTTTTTTTTCCCCATTGCAATTTCCACTGGATGAAGTTTAGATAGCTGAATTTTTCTCCTCTTTTAAAGCTTCTTCTATCACTGTTAAGTTATGTGAAAATGATCTTATGTTTTGTTTCCTTCTTAATACACAGATTACAATTATTTAGTCATTTTTCTTAATTTCTTGGAGTTTTTTTTTGTTAAGACAATACCTAGTGGACATGATACATTGACATTGTCTCTCATTGACAACAATGATTATCATTCTCCATTCTTGGAGAAGTTACAAATAGGGAAAAGTTATGATAATTATTTGGGGAAAGTTGCTTATTAATAGAAAACATTAATTTTTGTGGCTAAGCTAGCAGAGCAAATTGTGTGTTATGATGTGTTCTAGAATTAGGTCAAGTTATATTAAGTTATATTAAAAATCTGTGAGATAATGGAAAACAATCTTAGTTTGTGAGGAAAAAAATACTTTTATTATACCCAAGAAAGATGGCTAAGTTTACTTCTTTGTCTACACCCAATTGGCTACATGAGTGTGAAAAATCCCATAAATTTTTCCCTGCATTTCTCTCTCGGTAAAATTCAAATCTTAATATTTATATCTTATAACATTAGTGTAATATTGTGAAGGTCCATTATTTATTACAGAATTTTTCTTTGCTGGAGAAAAGCTCTAAGTACATCCCAAAGTACTATTATTATTATAACTTATTACCATTTCATTTTAATGACTAAGGCTATCATACATTTTTATGGGAATCAGAGTTCCCAAATTATATTGTAACTGTGCTGTCCATCTTAAAATATTTTACACAAGTTTCATAACTCCTGTTTCGAACAGTAACAAAGAATAAGGTCTTCAGCTTGAATGAGTATACATAAGTAACAACAACATATTTGCTCTTAAATTTCTCCTAGCTTTCCTGTTATTTGAGTAAATATATTAAATTCAAAAGAAGTACATAAAGTAAATTGAAACAAATTGTGGATGCTGGTGTAAATTACAACTGGTATTTTCATTTGGAATATTTAGATGGTAAACGTTTTAAGAACAGCACATTTTACGGTGTGAGTGAAAAAAAGTGTGTAATGAAGAAATCAGAGTGAAATTTCTACTTCATTAGCTGACTTAAAAGTGCCTCGGGTGAAAGAAGAGAAGATTTGGGAGGAAACATCGTTTGATGTTTAGGAAATCTGCTGTCAACTCAACTTGGCCCAGCATAGATAGCTTACAGATCCTAGGGAATTTGAAAGGGGGAATCAAGCTGACAGTATATTTGAAATGTACTACTACTGTTTTACGGAATCATGTTATAATTCATTTATCTTGAAATAGGAAAGTAAAATATCCAGGAGAAATGTTATACATGGATAAACTAAAGTTTAGTCGTTTAGCACATTTTTGTGGAAAACTGCAAGAAGCACAAGATATAATGGTGAGCACAGTTTTTGCTTTGAAGATGAGCTTGGTAGGTGAGGGGTGCAAACCAGATAAGCTAACAGGTAATTGTGACAAGGACCAAGACTGCGGCCTATGGGACCCTGTACAAGGGCCAGAGGCAGAGGGAGGAGGAAAGGGGCTTCTGATGACCAACTTGTGCACCCTGATGCTAGAGATGTCCCTGGAGGCACCATACAGCTGGTGGAAGCTGTGAGAAGTCTCTAATTATGAGAAGTCCAGAGAACTCTGGGAGAACAAACCTTATCTTGGAGGTAGAAGAAAATCTTCTAGGAGAAGGTGTCAATACCTAAATCAAAAGCAAAAGAATAAGGAGGTGTTAAAAGATGAAAATGTAGAAACAAGGGTGGGGTTTTGAAAGGACGTTGGTCAGACGAAGCAGATATCTTGTGTAGAAAGGACTGGAGGCAAGAGAATACATGAAACTTTCTGGAAGTTTCAAGAGAACACAGGCCTCTAAGAGGAGATCAGTCAAGAGAGGATATTCCTGATTTTTAACATTCTGTACTGAGGGAGAAATACCCATAGAATCATCCCATTTTGATTCTCAGGTTCTTCTAGGCCAGATCAGGATGGGGAAAAGTTAGTGGAAACCCACACAGCATGAAGTTACAAAGGGTATCAAAGGGTATCCTTTGTGCTATGACTCCTTATGTCCCAAGTTTGGATTGGTACTTTACAAAATAAATGAAATTCTAAGCACATTCTCTCAAGGTTTCAATTTAGAACCTAGTTTTCAGAAGATGTGTTTTTTTTACAAACTGCTTTTGGGAGATAGAATTGAAAGAGAGAATAGGACTCAGTCTGCCCTTTTTGTGTAAGTCTTGGGTCTGTGAGAGGGAGATTCAAAGTCAAGTACTATGAATATGTGTATGTAAAAATAGGGACTTAAATGACACACATCAAATCCATGGCAATGGTTAGTTCTTGAGAAGGAAGATGGAATCTGGAACAGAGAAGGAATCTGTCTTATGTATCTCCATATTTAAAAATCAGAAAAATTGGGAGAAAATGTTAGCATTTATTAACTCAGGTCATGAGAAGCCAGGTTTGTTATATTATTTTCCATTATATGCTCTCTTTTTAAAAGTAAGTAATAATCAGTTTCCTCTTATTTGACATTTGGCTCTTTAGGGGCCCAGGATACATTCATCTCTGCCACTTGCTACAGCCACAAACCTCAGTTTAGCTGGGAAAGAAAAAACTGGCACCTCCTCTTTTTTTTTTTATTTCACCAATTTTGTGATCTTGCCCCCTTCGAGGTGGGTTGATTCTTCTTCTTTTCTTTTCTTTTTTTTTTTTTTTT